TAGGCGACCGCGGTTCGCGTCCCAGACCCAGTGGCTTAGAACTCAAGCCGGGCGCATGTGCATGCGTGCCCTAGGTCATGGGAGGAGAATGGAGGAGAAGGGATTGCGGCGTGACCATCCCCTCTGGGGGGTGATTTCTCACTTTCTGTCTCTATGTCTCTCTCTGTCTGGCGAGCGCACGCGCCCTATAGCAAAAATCTCTCAAAAAAGAAAAAGACTCACGACCTTAGTTCAAAAAATAATTTACTTTTTATGGGACCAGCAGATGGCGTGATGGTTACGTTGCTGGACTCCCACACAGTCTACTGCTATTCAAGTCCCGGATCTGGTAGCTTAAAACTCACGCTGCATGCACATGCGTGCATGCCAAGGTCCTGAGAGAATGGAAAAGAAGGGATTGAGGTGTGACCATCCCCCCGGGACGTGATTTCTCGCTTTCTGTCTGTCTCTCTGGCGAGCGCACGCACTGTATAGCAAAAATCTCCCTAAAAAAATAAATAATTGATATTTTAAAATTTTATTTTGCTATAGATTACGTGTGCTCGACAGAGAGAAAGTGAGAAGCGTTTCCTGGTGGGACGGCCACGCTGCTGTTTCATTTCCATTCTCCTGGGATTTGGGGCACACACGCACATGCTGCCAGGTCTGGGACTCAAACCATAGAGCTGGTCATGTAGGATCCAGCTACTTAACCTCTGTGCCTCTGGCCAGTCCCCCAACATGATCTGCTGCTGAGATCTTACGGAGTCAGGAAGGATTGCTCTCCTACGAATTAACTCTGAAATCGGGCATACTGATATTTCAGCAAACATGCTTTGCGTCCCGGAGAGTCGACCCTTGCCTTGTCCAGGCCACCTGCCCGTGACGTCACTGCAATGACGGCTTTCCCGTCATCTGCCGGTCCTCTCACTGCTTCACCTCTACGGCTGCCAGTTTCCAGTCTTACTCCTGCCCCCTCTTCCCATTGGGTGTCCTCTTTTTTCTTTCTTCATGACGAAGAGTGCAGAATGCGTATGAGATGGGGGGGGTAGCACAGGCACCGGCTGCAGGGCCACACCACAACCCCCTCCCTTGTCCTCCACACGCGTGTGCACCGGTGCGTTTCAGGCTGACCGGAGCAGGGACCTGAGCTGCAGTTGCCGTGCGGGATCGGGAAGTTGGCCCTAGGTCTCCTTTTCAGCTAAAACATGCTGACTTGAAATGGAAACTTCTTGTAGCTCTTTGACTTGTAGTTTCAGCTCCTGTTCACTTGGGCCTGCTGTGTCACCTGCACTGTTTACCCTTCCCGGCGGAGAGGAACAGTTACTGCCTGCGTGGTCACTGGGTGGTGAGGTTATTCTGGGCCGTGAGGGCTGGGGGCAGGGCTGGGCTGCGGAAGTCGCTGAGATGAAGCCGGTGCTTTTCGAGACTCGCATGCCTTGCAACCTATTTCTCATTAGGGACAGAACTGGTATACGCAGCTTACCGCCTGATTACCTGACACCACCGAAAAGCAGCCTTGCAGCACTTTGGGAGGGATCTTGGAAAATGACGTGGTCTGTGTCTCGGAATAAGTGAAAGGCCTGAGGGTCACTTTTCCTCCTTTACATTTCAAAACCAACTGACCCTGAGCTTGTAAGTTTCAGATACTGCCACAGTCTTGAAATGACAATGACAAAACTGAAAACAGTTCTGTCAGAATTAAGGATAAAGAGGGAAAATTATGACTATCAGAAAACAAATATTTTTCTGAAATAACAGGTAAACCTTGGGAAGTTATCAGCAATGCGTTTCAGAACCACAGAACTTTGGGGAACCAGCAAGTGGCGTGGTGGTTAAGGCGCTGGACGCTCCCACATGGCTGCCTGTGGTTTGGGTCCTGGACCTGATGGCTTGCTTTCTCACTTTCCCTCTCTCTCTGGTCAAATGAAAATAAATGCAAGAATAAATAAAAATGTAGTAATTCTTAAAAGAAAAAGAAAAAGAAAGAACCACAGAACTTTGGATATAAGGATGGAGCGTGAGCTTGGCTGAAGGCCAAGGCAGAGGAAGGCGCCGGACCACCCAGACCCGAGTTCAGCCCACGCACTGAGCAGCGAAGTGGTCTGACCATTTCTCTTCACGGAGTTACTCAAGACCCCCCCCCCCTAACATTTCACGAATCAGATGGGGGGGATGAGCTGACCTCATTTTTATCAGATGTTTGCAAAGGCTATGCAGACACCTGGGAAAGGCTTTGCATGGCGAGCGGGATGAGCATCTCACGGGACGGATCAATCTGTTCTCGTGACGCTCAGGTCATCTCACGGGACGGATCAATCTGTTCTCGTGAAGCTCAGGTCTTTTTTTTTTTTTTTTTTAGATTTTTGCCATGGGGTGTGTGTGCTCACCAAGAGAGGCAGTGCATGCACGAGAGATAAGGAAAGAGAGAAAACACCCCTGAGGGGATGGCTACACCACAGTCCCTTCTCCATTCTCCTCTTGGGATTTTGGGCATGCACACACACTGAGTATGATTCTCAAGCTGCTAGGTGTGGGATTTGAACCATGCAGCTGGCCATGTGGAGTCCAGTGCCCTAGCTTCCACACCACCTGCTGGCCCAATATTTCAGTCTTAAATGAAGGCTGGCCTTGGGCTGCCTGCAGTCAGCTGATCTAACTCACAGGCTGTGCAAGTTAGGGTTCTTCTGTAGTTTTTGTCTTACATCACAGATCTCATATATTACTTTTTTTAAAAGAATTATTTTATTTAACTTTGCTATTATTTTCCAGTTTGATCAGAGAGAGAGAGAGAGAGAGAGAGTGAAAAAGCAAGCCACCAGGTCTGGGACTCGAACCTTGGTTGGCCATGTGGGAGTCCAGTGCTTTGAACCACCAGGCCACCTGCTGGCCCCACGCGTATTCTTGACTAGTTTACAGGTCGCAGCCTTTTCTTTGGAATAAGCTAATGTGGATAAGAGGGACTAAAAGGAATTGATTTTATGGCAATAAAAAAGGAAAGGTTTTACTTGAACCTCGTGTGTAGCAAACGCTAAGATACTGCGGTTTAAGGTTTTGGTGTATAATTTCAAGACGTGTTCCCAGAATATACCGCCCTCAAGACAGGGTTAAAGTTAAACTTCCCACTAAGATAGTGCAGAGGAGGCGCTGTTCCAGGAACAAGTCTGAGCACAAGCTTCCCTCCACAGGCGTCCTCCCTCGGGCACCGAGACGGCAGCTGTCCACTGAACGGGGAAGGGCAGGGAGAGACCAAGTCCCCGACGCGCTGCCGGGCTAATTCTTGGCCAGTCTGGCGATGAGGTCTTTCCACTCTCCCCTCTTCTTCGTGATGTATGCAGGCGTGAGTAGCTGCAGCAGGGAGTCCGGCTGTTGCCTAAAGAGGCTCTGACACAAGGCCTCGGTGTTACATATCACGTACATCCCACAGTCGTAGCTGTTCTGTTGAGCAGGGGCTTTCTCCTCCACAAAGACCAGTTTGTCTCCTTTTCTGCCTAAGAAAGCTTCCAGTTTCTCTGCTACCTGCTTTGCATGAACCGAATTGCTCCTGCTATGGGAATCGTAATGAAAAAAGCTATTTTTATCTTGGAGATAAACCAACAAACTCCAGTGGGTCCCCCCAGCTGTCTGGTTGGAGTTATCGTTGATGGCTAAAAACACAGCTCTCTTGTGGGGGAGGTCCAGGGGTTCAAGGAACATGGCCACCTCCGCTGGGCTGCGAGTGCACTTGATGAACTGGGTGACTTCGGGGCTAATGAAGCAGACGCGGTCCGAGCAGTCGTGGAACTGAGTGTTGGCAAAGTACTCAAAGGCGAACCCGATGATATGGTCGTTGAGCCAGCTTGGGGGGTCCAACAGCGAGACATCTGACTGCCGCAGCAGACTGTCCATGTAACTCAAGACCACGGGGTCCATCTTGCACTGACCCGCGCTGCTGAGATGCAGAAGCTGGAGGGGAGACAGAGGACAGTCTTCACTGCCGAGATCATCCTGCCTGACAGAGGGGCTACAAGACAGCTGCGTGGCCCTCGAACCTGCGCGGCAGAGGTGCGGTGTAGTGTGGAGGTGTGGCCGCCAGGCTGCGCTGGAGTGAGCATGCGTGGAGCGTGCCACAATCAGAAAGGACACTGGGACACTCCCTTGCAGACAGTAAGCATGATTTCATTTTCTTATTTTTACTTTGCTATGGGGCACATGTGCTTGCTGGACAGAGAGAGACAGGGAAAGTGAGAAAGCACCTTGTAGGGGACATGGCCGTGCCGTAATCCCTTCTCCATTCTCCTCTTAGGAGTTTGGGCGTGCACACACGTGTTCAGTGTGTTTTTCAAGCTGCTGGGTCTGTGGCTTGAACTGTGCAATCAGCCATATGGGATCCACAACACGCTAGCCCTCACACCAGCTGGCTGGCCCAGTGAACATGAATTCTAGCCCCCCCTGCATGTGCAGCCCTCACAGCAGCTGGTGGGCCCAGTGAACATGAATCCTAGCCCCCCCTGCATGTGCAGGTTAGTTAACATGACAGCTGGTGTTTTCCAGATGCCAGGCATTAGTTCCATTTCTGGCTCTTCCATGAATAAACAGAGTAAGAACAAATTATTTTAATTTTAAAGATGAACTTAAAGAGGGACCAGCAGATGGCATAATGGTTACATCACTGGACTCCCACAAAATTGACCGTGGATTGAGTCTCAGACCTGGTGGCTTAAAACACACTGGACGCGTATGCGCGTGTGCCCAAAACCCAAGACGAGAATGGAGAAGGGATTGCAGCATGGCCATCTCCCTGGGAGGGTGATTTCTAGCTTTCTGTCTCTCCAGTGAGTGTACATGCCTTGTTCAAAACTCTCTTAAAAAAAAAAAAAAAAAAAACCCAAAGAATCAGTAGAAGAAAGTTACTAATTACCAACGGAAACAGTTTTCATGTCAACATTAATTATCAAGCGGTAAGATAAGGTAAATTACTGCTTCCTCTTTCCATCATAAAAAGTAACAATGATTTGAGCTGCAGTTAAAAGAAACTTCTGTTTTCTTTTAGAGAGATTTTTGCTACAGGGCTGTGTGCTTGCTGGACAGACGACAGACAAAAAGTAAGAAATCACCCCCCCAGGGGAGATGGCCACACTATAATCCCTTCTCCTCCATTCTCCTCCTGGGATCTTGGGCATGCACGCACACATGCCCAGCGTGAGTTTTAAGTCGCTAGGTCCAGGACTTGAACCACATTCAACTACGTGGGAGTCAGGGAGTAACCATCACGTTTTCTTCTGGTCCCCAAAGGAACTGTTGTTTCAAGAGTTGAAAATCATGCGGAATACAATGGAACTCATTCCTAAATCTGCCCATTTCTTACCTGGAGCCTCAAGTGGGAGGAGTAAACTACGGAGCGTTTATAATACAGAGAGACCCTTCGCTGTGGAAAGGCCTTCGCCCAGGAGTGGGAGACCTGGCCAGGCCCATTTGCTGCTGCTGCTGTCTTCAAGGGCCTTCGTGTGATCTTGTCATCTCTGCCATGGGAAAGGGGGTACATACCTGCCCTCCACACCTCAGGGCTGCAGAGAAGGCTAGAGCTGAACATGCAGGCACTGAAACAGTTACAAATAGGGCCAGCAGACAGCGTAATGGTTACGTCGCTGGACTCCCGCATGGCCAACCACAGTTTGAGTCCTGGACCTGGTGGCTTGAAACTCAAGGCGGGTATGAGTGCATGGGTGCCCAAGGTTCTGGGAGGAAAACGGAGAAGGACGTGGCATGGCCATTCACCCTGGTGGCTGACTGCTCACTTACCTTCTCGCTATCTCTGTCTCTCTCTCTTGTTGGCAAGCACATACACACTAAGGCAATACCTTAAAAAAAAAAAAAGAGTTAAAAGTTGTACACTTGGGGGTGATTTCTTGCTTTCTGTCTCTCTGGCGAGCGCACATGCCCTGTAACAAAAATCTCTCTCAAAAAAAACTACAAATAATATTCACGTTATGAACTGGATGATGTTAGTAAGACAACCAGAGAATCTATCAATAGATCAAGCTCCAAACCAATCAGCAAGTGAGGTTCAGAAACAAATATCCACTCATGTTTTTATCGTTATTATTATTTTTTAGTTAGTTTTATTTATCATTATTATTTAAATAGACAGCGAGAGAGAGAACGAAAACAAGCCACTAGGTCTGGGACTCGAACCACAGTCGGCCACATGGGAGTCCAGCACCTCAACCACTACACCACCTGCCAGCCCCCCATTCGTGCTATTTTGTCCAAACAGCAGAATGTTTAACTCAGAGCAGAAGCAAGACAAGCTGCATGGTGAGATTAGCCTGGTGGTGAACGCCCAGGGTGGGGCGCTGCCTGGATGGGCAGGGGGAGGTCACAGTGCAAGACCACATTGAGGATGTCTGTCTTTTTCTCATGAAAGAAAGAAAAATAAACGAGTAAATAAATAAATAAAAGGACAAGAAGTCTGATGGCTGTAGAAGACACTATAATTTTTGAGCATAACAGATTCACCAGAGTTAACTGCAACGTACTTGCAGGACGATGCTTCCAACAACAGTACAGGAGCAGTTCCATGCAGACCCAGCGTACAAAACAACGCTTTAGGGCAAGAAGACAGCAATGTGCAGGGACGGGGCTGGGATGCCGACATCGACTTAATCAGTTCTGGTCACCAGACGGTTATTTTTCCCACTTGGTCACACTGAGGCCGCAGGGAGGCCTGCGTCAGCTGGGTGTGGGGACAACCTGTGGTCCTAGCTGGCGGAGTGGCTGAGGCAGGAGGCTTGCAACACGGCGGGGCTGTCAAAATACTTCTCGCTCACTCTCTCCCTCCCACGGTCTCATAAAACAAAATACAACTTTGTGACAGACCCCTTTTCTGAAATTAACACCCTGCAAAACCGTGTACAGAAAATACACCCAAGAGAAAAAGCTAAAGCTAACGGAGTTTCTGAATAGCATCAACAGAACGACTTCGGAAACGGCCTCGCTCTGCTGGTGGAGATGACCGGACGGCTTAGATTTTCTTACGGGAGACTAACCGGAGGAGGGACGTAAGCTGCAGCCAGGAAGGACGCTCCCGAGCCACAGAGCACATGTGTTATGGGTGGGCCACAGCTTTGGCTCGAAGCTTTCTGGCAGTTCACCAGAGACAGTTAAACACTCACCCGCCCGAAAGGAAAAAACAAAGCAATTGCTTGGGAGAGGTAAAAAAATTCTGTGTGTTAAGGTCAGTTTTTGTTTCTCCCGAAGTTGTCGTAGATGACAGGGTGTATCATAATGAAGTGTCCCCCAGCAGCCTTAGGACAGATGCGATTGTCGAGGGGACCGTCCCTGTAACGCCTATTCGCCGTGATGGCAAGGTGGCAAGCAGCAGCCCAACGAGCCAAGTGCTCAGCTCGCAGGCTGGCCTGACCTGGAGCTGAGCAGCACCACGGGGAGAGCGGCATGTGAGCAGTTGCATGCCAGGGTCCGTGCGTGCCTGCCCAGGATCCTGGGAGGAGAAAGGATTGCGGCGTGGCAGCCCCCTGGGGTCATTTCTCACTTTCCCTCTTTCGTCTCTCTTGTCATGCACGGGCCTTATGGCAAAAACCTTAAAGACAAAAAAAAAAGAGATGCACGTGGTCTTGGCGGGTAGGAAGGCTGGGGGACTGACAGACAAGTGAGGTGTGTGAAGACGGCCTCCTGGTTCTCGCCGTGAAATGCTGCGGCCTAGATTAGAGGGCATGTTTACGGGACAGGAGGCTTGGGGTCCAGGCTCAACTCTGCGACTGGCTATCTAAGTGACCCTGGGGCCGTTATTCGTCCTCTTTCTTTCAAAAATCATTTAACTTCATTTATTTTAATTTTACCAGAGAGGAACAGAGTGAGAAAGTGAGAAAGCAAGCTGCCAGGTTTGAGACTTGAACCACGGTCGGCCACGTGGGAATCCAGCCACGTCACCTGCAGGCCCCAGATGGGCTAATCTTCACCTAGACATGTGACTGGTTCAATCTGGATTTTTGGTGAATATAGATGCTTAAAATATTAATCACAGTAGATACAAGCAAGAATTGTCTATTTGATGAATGTGCAAGTTTCTGGGACCAGCAGTTAGTTTAATGGCTATGTCGCTGGACTCCCATGTAGTCAACTGCAGTTCAAGTCCCGGACCCAGCGGCTTAAAACTCACGCCAGGCGTGTGTGTGTGCGTGCGTGCCCAGGATCCCAAGAGGAGAATGGAGGAGAAGGGATTGTGGTGTGGCCATCCCCCCTGGGGGGTGATTTCTCGCTTTCTGTCTCTCTTTTTGGCGAGCGCACGCGTTGGGCAACCCACGCCCCCCCTAGCAAAAAAACCCCAAAAAAAAAAAAAAAAGTGTAAGTTTTTTTTGTTTGCCTTTTTTTTAAGATTTTTGCCATAGGGTGTGTGTACTTGCTGGAGAGACACAGGGACAGAAAGAGGGAAAGTGAGAAATCACCCCCTCCAGCGGGGATGGCTGTGCTGCAATTCCTTCTCCTCCTGGGATTTTGGGCATGAATGCACGAGCACCTGGTGTGATTTTCGTGCTGCTGGGTTCAGGCCTGGAAACGCGGTTGGCTATGTGGGGTCTAGTACCTTAACCACACCACTTGCTGGCCGCTGTAAGTATTTAACCCGGTAAAAATATTAAAATAGTATTTTATATGAACAGATTTGATAAGGTATGCAGTGATTTTCATAACTGCTGGAAAATATGCCTGTTGGCTGTTGAATAAGGTGATAATCCAAATACGTTTGTTTTACTCTAAAGCCCAACAGAAAACTTACTATCCCAGAATTGCGACCTTCGCTCATTTTTTTCATGTAATTACTCACTACGGGTTCCTTAAAGAAAACTGACAGCCTGGTTCAGTGATATTTTTAAAAACATTACAAAGCGCAGCTGTTCTGCTCATTCTAAGTGAAGGTTATACAAATGAGAAGTTTTGCATGCAGTCCCCTCCTCCCGTTTCAGGCTGTGTCAAACTGCAGAGGCTCACGGTGTGGTCTGTGCTTCGCTAAATGGCTCGGTGGCTACCTGCCAGCAGGTATCAGAAACCAAACACCGAGAAGCAACCAGACTAAGCGGAGTTGTATCTTTTTAAGACTTCAATTTCACCAGCATTAGCAAAAAAGAGCTAAACAATTTAGTCATTTGACTTAAAATATTTTAATAAGTAATTAAAATATGAACATAAACATGGACATATTGTTGCATACACTGCAAAATCACTATGACTTTTTTTTTCATTGAGAGGTTTTTGCTATAGGGTGCATGCGCTCTCCAGAAAGACAGAGAGACAGAAAGCAAGAAATCACCTCAGGGGAGATGGCCACGCCACAATCCCTTCTCCATTCTCCTCTCGGGATCTTCGGCACGCACACACACATGCCCGGTGTAAACTTAAGCCACCCGGTCAGGGACTCAAACTATAGTCGGACCACATGGGAGTCCAGCCACATAGCCATGACGCCAACTGCTGGTCCCAGTATGAATTTTAAGAGGAGATTCCCATAGAACTTAAGCACTACATTACTGGCTTAGACATTTTAGTGTGGAACAGTCTAATTGTTAATAGCTGGTGTGTCTATAACATAAGTCTATTTTTTTTTTTAAGAGATTTTTGTTAAAGGGCACATGTGCTCACCAGAGAGAGACAGACAGAAAGCGAGACATAATCCCCCATTCTCCTCTTGGGATTTTGGGCATGCATGCACACATGCCCACATGAGTTTTAAGCCGCTGAGTCTGGAACTTCTATGGTTAGTCAACCATGTGGTATTCCAACGACATAACCATTATGCCTCTGCTGGTCCCAATCTAAGCTTTTAATTCTTAGAAACCAGATTCCCTATTAATTAAAAAAGACCTGAGTGCAAATTTGTTTTAGTAGCTTAAATATGTATATGCTCAAGACATTTATTAAAGCAACTTTATCCACTTTTATTTTTGTCACAGCGCATGTGTGCTGCCATGCCAGAGAGAGATGCAGAGACAGAGACAGCCAGAGAGTGTGGGGGAAGGTACCCCCACCCTAGCAAGGGAGGATGGTCATGCCAATCACTCTCCTCCATTCCTCCACGCTGCCAGGAATTTGGACATGCACACTCATACATACATGCACACACATACATACATGCACACTCCTGGCATGCTTTTCAAACTGCCGGGGCCAGGGTATGAACTGCTGGACTCCCACATGGCCGACTGCAGTTTTGAGTCCCAGACCTGGCGGCTTGAAGCTCACACCAGGCATGCGTGCGTACGTGCTCAAAATCCTGAGAGGAGAATGAAGGAGAAGGGATTGTGGCCTGGCCATGCCCCTGGAGGGCGATTTCTCTCTGTCTCTGTGAGCACACACCCTACGGCAAGAATCTCTCTCTAGGACAGGGCCAGCTCTGTGACTCAGTGGGTAAGGCAGCGGGACCCCACGTGGCAGACCCACCAGCTGAGTCCTGGGCCTGTAACCTGGGGAACATGTGGGCACACGTGCACGCCTCAAATCCCAGGAGGGTGAGAGGGAGAAGGGACTGTAGCCCCGTGGAGGGTACTGTCTCCTCTGTCTGGTGAGCACACACGCCTTCTGGGAAAAAGAAAAGAAAACTCAGGATTAAACCTTTCCTGCTCCCCCCGCTGCCACCTTTTGCTTTTGTCATTTTACCCCTTTTCCCTTAATAGTGAGCACAAGGCTAGGAATGCAGCAGCTTCCATGGCGGGGTGTGCCACCTCCGACCTCCCACGGGCCCAAAACCTGTCTGTTTCTTTAATGTGGGAGTCTTCCTTCTGTCCTGTGGAAAGAATGCAGTCTAATCTCTTCCACAAACCCTCGACAGAAAGAGATAAAAATAATTTGCTTACTAAAATGAGAAGACAAGGCCCAACTTTTAGTGTATAATTCCATTTGCGCCTTCACAAAAAAGCCACGTCCAGGACCAAATGTGCTTCTCATGGCAGCATAGGCAGAAATATTTTCAGGAAGGAAGTTAAAGGCTTTAACATTTTTTTGGTTTCAGTTTCCCCCAATTAAATGTTTCCTTTTAATGCCTAAACCATCCGAAGAGTTGTATAATGTGGCATGTAAAAATTACCATCAGATTTACATGATTGCTTGAGTCGGGAGAGGAGATTTTACTTATCTCTGTAGCCGCGGTGCCTGAGAAACTGGAGAAGTTTTAATTCACGAATACATTTTCCCTGAGCAAGATACAGAAGTGAAATGTACTACGAGAAACTGAAAACACAAAATTGTTATAAACAGTTACAACTCCTCTAACATCAGTGTTTCACCAATATAAGAATTTAGCTTTCAAGACAGGAAAACTTGGGGCTGGCAGGTGGTGTGGTAGTTAAGGGTGCAGGACTCCCACATGGCTGACCATGGTTTGGGTTCTGGACCTGACGGTTGCTTTCTCACTTTTCTCTTCTCTTTTACTCTGTCCCTCTCTGGTCAAATTAAAAAAAACAAACAAACAAAATAAAGTTAAATAAAATAATTATAAAAAAAAAAAAGAAAAAGACCAGGAAAACCGGAGCCGGCAGGTAGTGTGATGGTTAAGGCGCTGGATCCCCACACGTCTAACTGCAGTTCGAGTCCTAGACCTGGCAGCTTGCTTTCTTACCTTTTCACTGTCTCTCTTTAGTCATTTTTTTTCTTTAAATGACAAATAGAGACCAGCAGTTGGCATAATGGCTATGTTGCTGGACTCCCATGTAGTCGACCATGGTTTGAGTCCCAGACCCGGTGGCTTAAACTCATGCCAGGCGCGTGTGCGTCCATGCGTGCCCAAGATCCCGAGAGGAGAATGGAGGAGAAGGGATTGCAGCGTGGCCATCCCCCTTGGGGGTGTGGTGAGGGGGGTGATTTCTCACTTTCTATCTCTCTGGCGAGCACACATGTCGTATAGCAAAAACCTCTCCAAAAATAAAAAAAGGCTGAATAAAAAACAAAAACAGGAGAACTATGTCTGAGGACGATGTCTGGTGATCTACCACCAGAACTTCCACCTAGTCCTGCCTCCAGGCAGGGCAGCGGCTGGTGACCCTCCAGGGCTTCTTCTCAAACCCAGGCTGTCCACTTGCTGCTCTGTATCGAGGCACTGCTGTCAGTGGTGAGATGTCACCGACATTTAAGGAATTTAAGTGTTTGCCAGAGGGTGTGTATGCTCACAGGAGACAGACAGGTGAAGGTGCCCACGTGCAGAATGGTCATGCTGCCATCCCTTCTCCATCGCTCTCTCCGTTTGGAACTGTTTTACGCAGGAGCACACATGTACCTGGTATGTTTAACCCACCAAGCCAAGGCTCGAACTGCACGGCTGGCTGTGCTGGGTCCAGTGATCTACCTACCAGGCCGCAGGCTGACCCCATTCGAAGAGCTTCATTCTCAGCCTGTCATTCCTTCCTCCAGGCTCCCACCTGTAATTCCATCATTTTTCCTTTACCATAAACAAGCATGTATAAAATTCTTCTTATGGTGACTTTGTTTTGCGTGAAATTTTCTGAGAAATGATTTCACAGCTTTTGAAATGATTAGGGATGAGGGCTACATGTGGGAAGGTCAACAGAATTAGGAAGAGGTGGAACGGTAGCTGGTTTCACATGGCTAGCTACACGGTTTGAGTCCTGGGCCCAGTGGCTGGAGAAACACGCCAGGTGCATGTGTGTGCGTGCCCCAAATCTGGAGAGTAGGGGCTACAATGTGCCCAGCCCTTATGGGGGGACTTTCTCAATTTACCTCTCTCTCTCTCTCTCTTTGGGGATCACACGCTCCCTCTGGCAAATTAAAAAAAAAAGGAAGAAGAATACGCTCTGGGTTAAGATAGTATTTTGTAAAGGACAAAACTGAAGCCAGCCAAGTGGGAATCAAGTGCCTTAACCACTATGCCAACAGTTAACACTTCTTACAACACCTCGTGAGTTTTTTAAAAATTATTTTCTTTAGCTTTATTTATTTATTTTAATTTGATCAGAGAGGGACAAAGAGAGACAGAGGGAGTGGGAGGGAAGTGAGAAAGCAAGCCACCAGGTCTCGGACTCGAATCACGGTTGGCCACGTGGGAGTCCAGCACCCTCAGTGACCACTCCACCTGCCAGCCCCAACGTCTCATAATTGTCGGGACCAGCGAAGGGCATAGTAATTACGTTGCTGGACTCCCACATAGTTGACTGTGGTTTGAGCCCTGGATCTGGCAGCGTGGAACTCACGCTGGGCATGTATGCATGTGTGCCCACAATCCCTGAAGGAAAATGGAGGACAAGGGGTTGTGCTGTGACCATTCCCCCTGGGGAGTGATTTCTCATTTTCTGTCTCTCTTTCTGTCTCTCTGGCAAGCACATGTACCATATAGCAAAAATCTCTCAAAAAAAACAAAGACAAAACACCTCCTAAGTTTCAAATATTACCTTTCCTTTCAGATAGACCCAGTTCCTTCTTCCCACACAAAAGGGGACTGAGAGCTGGACCTCAATGTCTGCACACTTGGTTTTCTGTCAGTGTGGATCCATGTTCATCAACCCTCGAGGCCTCCGACTATCTGATGGACAGAGTCAGTAACGGCCAGTCGTGCTGAAGAAGCTTGGCACTCAATGATTTCCTATAAAACAGCCTTCAGTTACCTTTCCTGGTTTATTTCCTAGTACTGCCCCGACATACGTATCCACACAAGATCATCTCCCCTGCAGTCCCTTCTAGTTATGCAACAGGGGATTAGTACCGGTTGCTGTCCGAGGTAGAGAAGAAAATATCAGTAGCTAGCTCGGAGCCTTATCCCAATACAGAGGTGGCAAGTGACCGGGGCTCTATCATCTCTCTGAACGCCACCCTGATCTGCCACACTCTTGCTTAAAACCATTACACTGCAATGTATATATTTTTTTGGTAGAGGTTTTTTGTTTGTTTGTTTGTGTTTTTGCTATAGAGTGCGTGCACTTGCCAGAAAGTCACAGAGAGACAGAAAGGGAGAAATCACCCCTGAAGGGGGATGGCCACACCACAATCCCTTCTCCTTCATTCTCCTCTCGGGATCTTGAGCACACACGCATACGCGTCCGGCACGAGTTTAAGCCACTGGGTCCGGGACTTGAACCGCAGTCGAATATGTGGGAGTCCAGCGACATAGCCATTACGCCAACTGCTGGTCCCGACACTGCGATATTTTAAAACTTGGGATCCATGGACTAGGATGTGGCTAGAATCTCATGGTTCCATGAAATTGGACTGGGGAAAAATGCCTATTTTCAACAATCTCTAGCTGAAACTTAGCGTTGTGTTCAAGTAGAGGCAATACAGCTCAGGAATATCAGCAATAGAAATCTGATACTTCTACCGGATATTAGTCATTGCGGGAATCTCAAATAGAATTCATAGTCATCGTATTCTGAAATGACATAACTGGATCTACTCCCAGATATAACGCATAGGAAAGTACGTACACAACCAAATCACATACTGGCTTTAATACCTTTTTAGTTGCTAGAGGATGGGTGTGCTTGCCAGAGAGAGGGAGGGAGGAAGCACCTCCCATTTGGGTATGGTCATGCCATAATACCTTCTCCATTCCTGCATCCTTTTGGGCACACATACCTGGAATGTTTTCCAAGACATGGGATCTGGCTCCCTTAACCACTAGGCTACAGGGCCAGCCCCCTTGCTTTCATATTTTTAAAATAACTTTCAAAGCACTGGTTTCCTTTATATTTCTAGGCATTTTACACATTTAAAAAATGCTATTATTATTTTTAAAATTTGCTATAGGGCATGTGTGCTCACTAGAGAGAGAGAGGAAAGGTGAGAAAGCAAGCCACTAGGTCTAGGACTTGAACCACGGTTGGCCATGTGAGAGTCCAGTCCCTTAACCGTCAAACCAACCACTGGCCCCTTGTTTTACACATTTAAAAATATTTATTCTTAGGTTGGGTATAGGCTAGACTGACAGAGGTCCATGGTGTAAAAGAGGTTAAGAATTTTTCTTGTTCATACGCATTGCTTACAGGATATAATCTAAACTTTAGTATGGGATTCGAGGTATGTCACAACCTGTCCACACCCACCCCTATCTTCCCTTCTTTGCTCTAGCTGCAGCAGACAACAGTAACCTTCTCTGAGCTGGAGGTGGGTGGACACGTTCTGCATTCACCCTGGTTAACAGAGCAGTCAGGTCGTCTCCGGTTTCCCTCTTCTGTCTGCCCAGTGGATTCTTTGTTTAAAGGTCTGTCTTCCCTCACCCTCTGAGATCCCATCAGGGCTATACTTGAAACACTTTTAGAACTCATCCAACTTGGATGATGGATGGAATGAGAACTAAAAGGCAGATTCTATGTTGGCAAGGCACCGCGTGTAGCTCTCTCTGGGGTGAGTGGGTCTTTAAATCTCTTTTTGGGGACAGAAATAGGGATGGCCCTTGTGTTCTAAGGCTGGAGATGCCGTCTAAATCCTGGACGGAGGGGAAAGGGACAGGAAAGAGCACTCGTTAAGTGACCAGACTGAGACTGAGGGATGAAACCGGGACAGAGGAGGAGGCAGGAGTGGCTCCTTCCACTTCCCAGAACAGTTATTCAGAACTCTTTATCGCTCTGCTCAAGCTTCTCAATCGACTCAGCTCTCGCGCTCATCACATGATCCCATTTTAACATCACAGGGCCAACTCCCTCAACTTCCTGCCCTTACATACTTCCCATCTTTTCCTCCTCTCAAGTGGATCCTAACCCTCAGTATTAGTCACTTGAAGAGCTTTAACAAAAATACTGCCGGGGCTGGCTCAGTGGTAAGGCAGTGCTCCGGAGAAGCTGGGTCCCGCACTGCAGCGGATTCCTGTCCCCAGCGGCCTGAAACACACCAGGACACGCACGTGAGTGCCCCAGACCTCAGGGACCGGAGGAGGAGTAGCATGATCAGACCGGTGGAGGGTGCTCCCCTCTCTCCTGTGTGCATGCGAGCACTTGGGCCGGCTGTGGCCTGATTAACGGAGGCAGGCTCCTCGTGGCTGATCACAGTCCGAATCCTGGACTTGTGCGCCCAAAATCCAGAAAGGAGGGATAAGTGCGGAAGTGACTGGCATGGCCGAGCTCCTGTGGCAGAATGTGCGTGTGTGTTGGGGACACACTACTCTCCCCCCAGGACACTGGCAAATTAAAAAAACAAAGGGACATCTACATCTGCACGGTCTGCACCAGGTATACTCCACTCTGTTTTACGCTCCCAGGCCCGGCCACCAGCTCCCACCACCACGCTCCCTGCTGCTAGCTCTTCTCCCTCTTTGACCAGCAATCCCTAACCAGCCGTTTAACGAGTCTTTCCAGAGTGAGCCAAGGGACCGGCAGGTGGCGTAATAGTTACGTCGCTGTCGAGTCCCGGATGGGAGAACTCACGCCCGGGGCGCGTGTGCGTACACAGGGCGAGGCCACCCCCTGGGGGGAGTCCGCGCTTCCGGCCTGTTTCCGGCCAGCGCGCGTGCCCTGTAACAAAAAACTCTTAAAAAAAAAAAAAGGTAAGAG